CCTAGAATTAACTAACAGCCCGTGAAAGAACAGAGGGGCAGTGACCACCAGGCCCTCACCCAGAGAACTGACAGCAGCATCAGTGTCTCTTACCTTTCCTCTGTTCCCACTGCTGCCTCCAACCCCAGACTCCCTAAGCCCAGCAGGGAAAGGAAGGGCCATCTACACAGCCATCTGAACCCAAATCCTTCTTGGATTGGAGAATTGCTTTGGAAAAACCAAAAATCAAGAATTGGCGCTTGCTGAGATTTGCCTGCGGGAAAATTTGCCCTATCCTTGGGTTTGGCTTTTGCAATTTCTGGCCTTTCTCACGCTTTCCTGTCTGTTTTTGGAATGTTCCCACCGCACGAGGCATTGTCTCCCTGCCACACTTCATTGTCGTGGGGAAGAGTGTCCTGAAGACCCTTGTTTCATGTTACTGGGGCCCAGGATTGCTATCTGCAGAGAGATAGGGGTCTGAAAAGGTCTGCCTCTCAAATTATCCTGCATCTGGGGTTGATAGGAGTTGGGGAGGAGACTGAGGAGCTGGAGACAAAGCTGTTGAGCCCACCAAGGATTTTAAACTCTCTCCCATGAAGAGCCTTAGATCAGCCACAAGTGGGAGAGTCGCCATTTGCAGCTCCATCCATCTTTTTTTGTCTTCTTTCATTTGCATAGATCTGAGCCAGTTAAGCATCAGTTAATACTCTTCTTATAAATCAGATTTAACCCAATTTGTCACTCTCATTTTTTTAACCTCTAAAACAGCACGGGTACAGTATCCCTATAGATACATCCCTGAAGCATTCTATGCAGTTCAGATTTTTTTTTTCTTTCTTTAGGGACTGAAATATTTTAAATTCATTAGGAGGGCTTTATTATTTCAGGCAATCCATGATGGATCTGCTAGCAACAGAAAAATCGTTCTTTCATTTGTGTGTGTTTATTATCAAATCATAGAGTGTAACACTTACAGTGGTCCCAAATGTCATCATTTTATAACTAAGGAAACCAAGGATCAGGAGGTCACTGGGATCACAAAGGAGTGAAAGCACAAACACCAAAACCTTGATCTCCTCACTCCTACCCCACTGCTCTTTCAGTCACAGGAACAGTAAAATATGGCAGAATTTAAAAATTATTGTCTTCTTATATTTTCATTTTATTTTTTATTTTTATTTCTTTTTCTATCTCTTACCCTTTCCTCTGGTGTCATGTATTTTCATTTTCATCTCTTTTTTCTACTTTTTTAAAAATTATTTTTTATTTTTTTAAATAAAGACAGGGTCTCACCATGTTGGTCAGGCTGGTCTTGAACTCCTGACCTCAGGTGATCCGCCCACTTTGGCCTCCAAAGTGCATGGATTACAGACGTGAGCCACCGCGCCCAGGCTCTTTTTTCTACTTAAAAACATTTTTGTTTCTATTTTTTAAAATTCAAAGACACATAATGTTAAAAGGTGCTTTCCCAGAAGTAAATACCATAAAAAATTTAATATGCCTTCTAAATGTTTTCTACGCGTCTGTGATACCTATACACATACACATAGAAGCCCCTATACTTACAGACATAAATGCATTTTAAAAAGAAGTTTTGATTTCAGAATAGTTTTACATTTGCCCAACATTGCGATGGTAGTCCAGAGAGCTCTCACTTAGCTCACACCCAGTTTCCTCTATTATTAGCATCATGCATTAGCCCCGGTACATTTGTCATGATTAATGAACCAATATCGGACGTAGCTCAAGTTCAGATTATACCCTGAATTCCTTTTAGATAGACTTTTTCTGTGCCAGGATCTCTAAAGTTATCATGTCTCCTTAAGTTTCTATTGGCCATGACAGTGTTAAGTTTTTTTTGGATAGTGTCACTTTTGCAGTATATATGGCAACGTTTTTTCACGTAACTATACGTTTTGAACGCCTTTCTGGGTTAGTGTGTGAGGCCTTCCACACCCGTTTAACTCACCACAGTGTTCTGTTGAGTGGCTCTACCCCATCATTTTACACTGCCCTTGGCACAGAGCCCTGTCTGGAAGTGTCACTGGACCTGGGTGCTGTCTGGTGAATTAGACAGACGCTTCTGCTGTCTTAGAATTTGGACACTGAAAGCAGAGAACATGGTCGTAAATGAACTGACGGAGCTCGGAGAACAGGGAACACGGCCTGCGGCGCTGCTGTTGTGGCGACCCTTTACCCCATGCCCTCACCCCACACCCTACACCCAGTGGCTCTGTGTCTGTCTGTATACAAGAGTTTGCATCTGTGGCTGAAGCATTTTCTCATAAAAGGGTAGGGCTTATTCTAGGAGGTCCTACAAAAGAAAAGCACTTGGCAGCAATATAGACCATCCAGCCGTGGAGCCGACGGCTGTGGCATGTGGAACATTCCTGTCCCTGGAAACCCAGTAGTAGCTTGGCGGACACCTGTCAGGAGTGCTTGAGTAGAGCGCTGATATTAACCTTGAAAGAAATATCTGATCAGCATCCATTCTAACCGGAAGAGATCTTAAAAGTGACTTGTCTCAAGGTCCCACAGCCAGTAGAGGCAGAATGTCTTCTCTTACTGCCTTTTCCCCTGGCCCCACCAGCCCAGAGCTGTTCCTAGGGGTACCTCCAATTCATAATCGTTAATGAAGAGAAAGCTTCCAGATCCTCACAGTGTCTCCACTATCTCAGAAGGGCCAGTACCTAATTTGAAACAACTTTCTTTTGTTTTCTTAGACAGAGTCTTGCCCCATCACTCAGGCTGGAATGCAGTGATGCAATTATGGCTCACCGCAGCTTTGAACTCCCAGGCTCAAGTGATCTTCCCACTACAGCCTTTCGAGTAGCTGGGACTACAGGTGTGCACCACCATACCTGGCTAATTTTTAAAAATTTGTTATAGAGACAGGATCTTACTGTGTTGCTCAGGCTGGCCTCAAACTCCTGGTCTTAAGGAGTTTGACCACTCCTTAAAGACAACTTTGTTATGTTTGAATTACACCTGAGGTTTGCTCCTCTGCAGATGTCCCCTGGAATTGGGCACAGTCTCTGACTGGCCTTATTCCCCTCACTTAAATATTTGCCACTGTCCCAAACCCCGTGTGCAGCACTTCAGCCATGGCCTTTTCCCTCTGACCTCTAATTTGCACAGGCCCTTCCAGCAGAGCTCCAGGCTGTTCTTGCCCAAGCAGAGATTACAAACATAGTGCTTTGAGAACTGACCCTCCCAGACTTAGGACTTCAGCCAAAGTAAGGGGGAACTAGACAACCCTCTTTGTTTCCTGCCACAAAGGGACCCAGCAGGCCTTCCATATGCAATCTTTTTCAGTAAGGAGGCAGGGAGCCAGGGAACCAGGGTCTTTTCCTCTAGTGCAGCCTTGTGAGGTTGGCAGGACAGCATGTGACCCACGCCTGGGCAGAGGCACACACCTTTAAGTGCCTTGCTGGGAAGGTGCCCCACTTAGGAGAGGTGGAGACGTACTCTACTGGTTTTTCTTACCTAGCAGGTATCTACGATAGACACACTCAGGCAACACTGCTTTGCCCATCACTGCCTGTCATCCAACACCATCCAACACTTCAAAGATGATGGACAATATGTCTGAGGCAGATAGGGGCGGAGGACAGCTGCATACCTGCACCTACTCACCTTCTGCTGTACCTTTGCCCTGCCCCTAACCTGCTTTGGGAACTCAGATCCCTCCTAGGAGGGGATGGATGGGCATGTTAACAGCTGAGAAGTGCTTTGCAAAATGCAACTGCTTAATCATAAATGAACATTAGAAAGCCACCTGGGGGCCAGGTGTGGTGGCTCACGCCTGTAATTCCAGCGCTTTGGGAGGCTGAGGTGGGCAGATCAGGAGGTCAGGAGTTTGCGACTAGCCTGGCCAATATGGTAAAACCCAGGCTCTACTAAAAATACAAAAATTAGCCAAGCGTGGTGGCATGTGCCTGTAGTCCCAGCTACTCCTCAGGAGGCTGAGGCAGAAGAATCTCTTGAACCCAGGAGGCAGAGGTTGCAGTGAGCCGAGACTGCGCCACTGTACTCACTCCAGCTTGAGCGACAGAGCGAGACTCAGTCTCAAAAAAACAAACAAACAAAACTCATCCTCTTGGAGAGGACAGGAGAAAGGGAGATTTCCAGGGCAGGAGAAACCTGGGAAGTGACACTGAATGGGGAGAGAGGGAGGCTTTCTGGGGAATTTAAATGATACTGAAACCTGGATATGGAATAGGATAAAAAATAGCAACTTGCTCTCAGGGTGTCTTTACTCTCCCAAGTGCTGATTTCATTGACCTAAATCAGGTCTCTGCTCCTATTTGCTGCTGCCTAGTTTAGGAGAGTCTTATAAATACACAAAGGCGGAAATGCCTGTGTAGGGGGTGGCAAGAGGATGTGGTTCCACTCCAGGACAGGATCTGACTCAAATCACACTTCCTCCTGGATTCCAGACTGTCAGGAGGATGCTTCTGAGGTGGTGTTTGGAGAGCAGAGCTGGGTTATTCTAAGTGTGACCTAGGGAAGATCCTGCCAGCCTTGTTAATGTGTGTCCCCACCCAGTGCCCTGCTCAGCAGGGCAGAGAAGTGTGCTGTGTGTGGTGGGAGCAAGGAGAGGAGACCAGGACACCTCTATTCCACATGTACCCCAGTTTCATCCCTTGCTGCATTTCACTGAAATTATCCACTCGCCATTACGAGGTCCACTGTGTCCTCCTTGAGTCCTTGTTTGGCATACCTTTGTGTTCCCTTCCAGGGCTGAGTGAGTTCAGTCCACATTTATTGAGCTGAAAACTCACAGGTCTTAGAGCCTGGAGTAATAATCGGGACCATTTCTTTTCCTTTTCGGGCAAGATGAGCGACGGGCCCAGGTTGCCTAACCTAGTTAACTGCATGGTATCTCCAGAGCATCCAGCTCAAAGCAGGTGTTGACAGGAACCGGGCACCCAGAGAAATGGCGCTGGTACTGCTGTAGGGGTAAGATGTGGCAGCAAAGGGCGGGCAAGAGGGCTCCAGATGACTTCTACAATGCTGACCTAGCTGCCTGCTGGCCTTGTAAGCAGTGGAATAAGAAGGCTATTGTGTCGCATTTTGAGGGGTTGGTGCGGCCTTCCTTGGGGGTGAGGAAGCACGTTGGGAAGGGCTAGCAGCTCCCCCTGATCCTCTTCCTACTGTGATGTGAGAAACATTCTGGGGGTGGGGGGCGCTGGGGGACTGGTAAGGGGAGTTGGCTGGGCTGGGAGGGAAACCGGCCCTTTCAAGTGCAAGTGACTCTTTTGTGAGCTGTTTACCTGCTTCATGCCCAAAGGTGCAAATGTGAGTCATTTAATTTAATTAGTTTAATAAGTAAATGGTCTAGGGGTTGGGTATGAGAGGGAGGAGCAGTGCAAACCCTACAGAGATGCTTTGAAAAGAAACCTGTTGGCAGCCCTCTAGGGAATGGTCATAATTAAACTGGGAGTGGAGATGCTTTGGGAAGCAGGAAGAAGGGAAAGCCCCAGATGTTGATGTGGAAAGAGGAGGAGAGGCTGTAGGTCTGCCGCCTCAGGTTCTCAATGCCCATCTAAGAAACGGCATTCCATCACCACAGTATTGGACTCACTGGTGCTGGTGCATCCACAGGGCTGTGCAACCATTGCCACTGCCTAATTCCAGTGCACTTTCCTCACTCAGAAAAGAACCTCATACCGTTGGCAGTCAATCCTGACTCTCCCCACCTCCAGCACTGGCAACCATGACTCTCCTTTTGGCTTCTATGAATTTGCATGTTCTTTTCTTTTCTTTTCTTTCGTTCTTTTTTGATATAGGGTCTAACCGTTGCCCAGGCTGCTGGAGCACAGTGGCAATTCACTGAAACTTCTGCCTTCAGGGCTCAAGCTATCCTCCCACCCCTGCCTCCTGAGCAGCTGAACTACAGGCCTGTGCCACCACACCCGGCTAATTTTTTTTTTTAACCAATCCGTTTTTTAAATTCTTAAATTCTTGACATTACAGAACTAAACTGAAATTTATTAACATTCCACTCTTACATTTCTTATTGACAAGAAGTAAAATTCATGAGCCAAAAAACCCAAAACAAAACTCAATACAGGGAAAAGCTTATAAAACTAAATATGGAACCCAGCATTAACAGCTGAATAGAGAATGTGATTTTTAAATTCTTAGCGGATGATAAAGTTGTGTAGAAACTGAACACTTACAAATTATTTAAAACCTGGAATCACTGACCAGAAATTACAGAGTTGGATCATGGGAAAACAGCAGAAAGGGGTTATGGAGGGAACCTACATTGTTGTAGCTGCACCCCATGCCCTTCTCAGAGAAAAGCCTGGCATTGATTAGATACTGGGCCAGACTAATACTGGCAGCAGAGCCAGTGATAGTAACCTGCCTACCAGAGGAGCCTTCCACTGGATTGGCAATTTTGATCTGGGCCCCGGACATCTGGCGAATCTCATTAATGTTGACGCCTTGGCGCCCGATTATGCAGCCAATTAGGTTATTTGGAATGGTGAGTTCATGGGTGGTTTGAGTAGATGCATCCAAACTTGCCCGATAGCCTTTCACCTCTGGAGAGCTGGACTCAATTCCGGCGAATCCGGTCCCGCCGTGCAGCATGGCAATGTGAGACTGTTGTCTTGCCACCTGGTTCAGCTTGGCCAGATGGAGCGGAGAAATGGTGTGTTGTCCTTGAGTCGAGCAGGCATCTAGAGGTGGTACCCCTAGGTCACGGGTGGCGTGGGGGTAGCCCGCAGCGTCGCTGCCCCGATCTTGGCCGCCCGCGCAGGTGACTGGGGAGCTGGCCGGCATGGGCTGGTACGGAATGGGCATGACTCTCCCTTGCGGACACTGGGGGAGCGTCTCCAGCATGACCAGGCAGATCTGCTGGACACACTCGGTAACAGACTGCGGCACGACAGCGACGGTGATGGCCTGCTCGGTGGAGTTGGGCAGCATGTCCCCCGACACCTGGACCTGCGCCCCCGTACTCTCGCGGATCTCTTTGATCTTACACCCGCCTTTCCCAATCAGGGAGCCGCACTGGGTGGCCGGCACCACCAGCCTCAGGGTGACCGGGGGCCTGCTGGCTGCGGTGCTGTTGGTCATGGAGCTGTTGATATCTTCCTCCAGCTTGTTGATCATCATAGCGAAAGCCTTAAAGATGGCACAGGTGGGGCCGGTCAGAGTGATGATTCTCTCCGGGCAGTTCCCCTCCGAGATGCTGAACCGCGCTCCACTCTCCTCGCGGATCCTCTTAACCGACTCCTCGTTCTTCCCAATGATGCTTCCTACTTCCTTTCCGTGCATAAGAAGCCGAATGGTGAGAGTCACGTTTAGTCCACTTTCAGTCACAGCGGCATCCATGGCGAGCAGCGGGCGGCGTTCTGGGGAGTTGGACTCGTTACGCGGTCAAGTCTTTGGCGGCTGGCGCGCGGAGGGGAGGTGTAGGCCCAAACCTGCCTGCGCGAGGCGAGCGGGGACCGCGGCGGAGGGGGCGAGCGCGGCCGGGAGCAGAGGGCTGGCGGGTGGGCGAGGGCGCGGCGGTGGCGACTCCGGCGGCAGCCTCGGCCCTGGCTAATTTTTATATTTTTTGGTAGAGAGGAATTTCACCATGTTGGCCAGGATGGTCTCACGGTCTCGAACTCCTGACCTCAGGTGATCCGCCTGTCTAGGTCTCCCAAAGTGCTGGGATTACAGGAGTGAGCCACTGCACGCAGCCTGGATTTGCCTATTCTGCACAAATGGAATCATACAATATTTTTAAGTGTTTTGTTTTGTTTTGTTTTGTTTTGACACGGAGTTTCACTCTTGTTACCCAGGCTGGAGTGCAATGGTGCGATCTTGGCCCACCGCAACCTCCGCCTCCTGGGTTCAGGCAATTCTCCTGCCTCAGCCTCCTGAGTAGCTGGGATTACAGGCACGCGCCACCACGCCCAGCTCATTTTTTGTATTTTTAGTAGAGACGGGGTTTCACCATGTTGACCAGGATGGTCTCGATCTCTTGACCTCGTGATCCACCTGTTTCGGCCTCTCAAAGTGCTGGGATTACAAGCTTGAGCCACGGCGCCCGGCCTTAAATGTTTTTTAATTTTAAGTATTTTTTAATGTTTTAAGCTTCCCCCATGTTGTAGCATATGTCAGTTCTTCCCCTCCCTCCCTTCCGCCCAAGTTGGAGTGCAGTGGCATAATCATAGTGTTAAGGGAAAGGAGTCCAGATCCAGACCTCAAGAGAGGGTTCTTGGATTCCGCACAAGAATCCAGGGTGAATCCGTAAAGTGAAAGCAAATTTATTTAGAAAGTAAAGGAGCAAAAGAATCTACTCCTTAGGCGGAACAGCCCTGAGGGCTGCCGGTTGCCCATTTTTATGGTTATTTCTTGATTATATGCTAAACAGGGGTGGATTATTCCTGCCTCTCCTTTTTAGACCATGTAGGGTTAACTTCCTGATGTTGCCATGGCATTTGTAAACTGTCATTTACAAATGCCATGGTGCCAGGAGGGATGCCTCTGAGGTGGTGTTTGGAAGGAGGTGTGTTGTTTTCATGGCATTTGTAAATGACAACATGGTGGGAGTGTAAAAGAGAGGAAGACCAGAGGTCACTTTTATTGCCATCTTGATTTTGGTGGGTTGTAGCCGACTTCTTTACTGCGATCTGTTTTATCAGCAAAGTCTTTGTGACCTCTATCTTATGCAGACCTCTATCTCATTCTCTGATTAAGAATATTCAATTTACTGGGAATGCAGCCTATCCAGTGCCTCTGATAATAGCTCACTGCAGCCTCAAACTTTTTTGTATAGACAGAGTCTCCCTATGTTGCCCAGGCTGATCTCTAACTCCTGGCCTCAACCAATCCTCTGACCTCAATTCCTCAAAACATGGGGATTGCAAGCATGAGCCACTGCGCCTGGCCCATTTCTTCTCATTGCTAAGTGATATTCTGTTGTGTGGATAGACCACATTTTGCTTATCTATTCACAGTTGATGAACATTTGCATTGTTTCTGCTTTTTGGCTATTAGGAATAATGCTGCTCCGAGGCTTTCATTTCTCCTGGAAATAGAATTGCTGGGTCAAATGGTAACTCCACGTTTTGGGGGACTGTCAGATTTTTCCAAATTGGCTATACCATTTTACATTCTCACCAGCTGTGTATGAGGGTTCCAGTTTCTCTGTGTTCTTTCCAACACTTGTTATTGTCTTTTTTTTGTTTGTTTGAGACAGAGTCTTGCTATAGTGTAGAGCCCAGGCTGCAGTGCAGTGACACAATCTTGGCCCACGGCATCCTCTGCCACCCAGGTTCAAGCGATTCCCCTGCCTCAACCTCCTGAGTAGCTGGGACTACAGGTGTCTGCCACCACACCCGGCTAATTTTTTTTGTATTTTAGTAGAGAAGGGTTTTACCATGTTGGCCAGGATGGTCTCGAGCTCCTGACCTCGAGATCCGCCCGCCTCGGCCTCCCAAACTGCTGGGATTACAGGCATGAGCCACTGCACCCGGCCTATGGTCTTATTTTTTAATGATAGCTCTCCTAATGGGTGTGAAATGGTTTCATACTTTTCTTTTCTTTTTTTTTTTTTTTTTTTTTTTTTGAGACGGAGTTTCACTCTTGTTACCCAGGCTGGAGTGCAATGGCGCGATCTCGGCTCACCGCAACCTCCGCCTCCTGGGTTCAGGCAATTCTCCTGCCTCAGCCTCCTGAGTAGCTGGGATTACAGGCACGCGCCACCATGTCCAGCTAATTTTTTGTATTTTTAGTAGAGACGGGGTTTCACCATGTTGACCAGGATGGTCTCGATCTCTTGACCTCGTGATCCACCCGCCTTGGCCTCCCAAAGTGCTGGGATTACAGGCTTGAGCCACCGTGCCCGGCCCGTACTTGTTTTTAAATAATTTCTTCTTCTCTTGCCAGTTAAGGTAGATCAACATTGTCATTCCCATTTCAGTCACAGATCAACTGTCGCAGGCAGGAAAGAAAAATATACCAGATCACAGATGAATCGTATGACACAAATAGCAAAATTTTTATATGGTTGAAAGATCTTCATGACGTTATTGTTGAGAGGAAGAAAAGCAAACTGCAGGATAATGTTATAGTATAAGCTCATCTATATTTTAAAGATAGGCCATCCCATCACATTGGCAAAAATGTTACAGATTGTGGCGTGGTGCTGATGTATAGAATGTATGTGGTGCTGACGAGGCTGCCAGGAAACAGACACATTTAAACAGTGTTAGTGCCAGGCTGAATTATTTTCAAACATTTTTGGAAAAAACGATGTCAGTATCAATTCAAATTTTAAAAATATACTGTACCCTTGGACCTAGCAATCTCACTTTGGAACTTGGTCTATAGAAACCATCGCAGCCGTACATGCTTGCAAATGGTTGAATGTTGGTCAGGAGGGAAGTAGTTTGCTAAACTGTGATGTAGCCATACCATGAAATATTCCTGTAGCTATTTTTTAAAAATGAGTTATTTTTTGATTTGTAGAAATGTCCATGCTGTGAGAAAAGCGAGTGTCAGAGTAATACACATGCAAAATGAACCCATTTTTAAACAAAAGATGAATACATGCTATTGGTATGAGAGCAAGGAGGAAGGTATGGAAGGTGGTTGTGCTGTCAACATTAATTGTGGCGAGAAGGCAGAGAAGGAGAAGATGCGATTTTTTTCTTATTTATGTCTGTTCACTGGTTGTGGTGAATACCTGGGATTTTTAGGAAACAAGAAATGGTCCATATGTAAAAAGAGTTTGGAATTGAATCAGAATAGTGGTTAAGAACACAAATTCTGGGCTGGGCACGGTGGCTTACACCTGTAATCCCCGGGCTGTGGGAGGCCAAGGCGGGTGGATCACCTGAGGTCAGGCATATTGGAAGAACAGCAAGGAGATCCAGGTAGCTAGAATGAAATGGCAATAAAGAGATAGGTGATGAGGTTGGAGATTTAATCTGTAAGGCCTTATTAGTTGAGCAACCATATCAATTGATAGTTTAAATTGGAACACTTCTGAGCCTGAAAGCTGGTACTATTAATAATTGACAGGATAACCCGTGTAAACTGGGTCTTTCTCCAATAAACTTTACTCATTGGCCATCAGAAGAATCTTGGATTGTATTCTGAGTGATTTGGGAAGTCACTGGAAGGTTCCAAGCAAGGATTGACATGGCCTTACTAATGTTTTGGTGGGATCCCTCTGGCTGCTAGACTCTAGGTGCAGGGGTGAACAGAAGGGGACTGGAAGAGCAATGATGTCTAGGACTGGAGTGGAGACAGAGAAGGGAGAAGTAGTCAGATTCTGCACAACTTTTGAAAGTACAGCTGATGGGACTTGCTGAGAGAGTGGATATGGGGAGAGAAATCAAGTAGTTAGAAGGTGTTTGACCTGGGTGGTTGGAAGGCTGGAGTCGCCACTTATAGGATAGAGAGGTGCAGGTTTGGAAGGAGAGTTGGGTTAAGTTTCAGAAGCCTCTGATATCCAGGTGAGGGAGCGAGTAAGAAAATTTGATGTACAAACGAGCAGTCGACGGAGTGGTCAGGCTAAGGCTAGGGAAGTCATCAACACAGAGATGGTGTTCCAAAAACTCTCCAGACAGCAAGGCCACAGTGTTGATGGCAAAGAGAATCATCAGGGACTGACCCTGGGGTAAGCAATCCAGTATTTAAAGGTTAAAGGAAAAATGAGGAGCATTTAGCAAAAGGGTAAGGAGTAGCCCATGGGAGAAGATTGGGGATTCCAGGGGAATCATAACCTTCTGCTTGACACACTTCTGTACTCTGATTTAGCCAGAGGAGAGTGGTCATATGTTACTTGTATTTTGGAAACAAAACTTCTAGGTTCCAGTCAGGGATCCAAGACAGGTGTCTTGTGGAGGGTGAGGGGACTGGAGGTGGTCCTGTAAAATCTAGGTCTCCTTAGGGACAGTGATTTTATTTCCATTTAATTTTATTTCAGTGATTTCTTTACATTCCCAGACCCAGCAACTCCACCTTCCTCAAAATACCTATTCGAGATCTACTTTACTATGATGTCTTCCCTGACCACCAGGATTCTCCTCCCTGGATTCTGGGAGACTTGACTCAGTTGCTCGGTTATGTACTTGTTATGTTATCAGAACACCTTTCCTGCATGAAGCAGGGGTGTGCCATGGGGAAAAGCACAGGAGAGGCAGGCTGAGTGTGAACTCCAGCCCAGCCATGCATTAGTGGCCATGGCAGAACCATCAGCTGTGACTTAATCATTGCCTGACCTGAATTGGCTCCTTGGCCTCCATTTCCTTACCAGTGGGGCACCATGATACTAGCTTCATAGGGTTGGAATGAGGATTAACCAGGCAGTAGTAGGAAGAGTGTGGTCTTTG